AAAAGATATTAGAATGTTATATATACAAATAATTTAAAGAAATCAAAAAGTACGAGGACCCTTAAGTTACATACAGTATATAACAAAGGTATTCAAACTGAAAACCAAAATGAAATTGTCAAAATTGATTTTTTATTGGATACAAAGCAAATAGAGAAAAGCAACAATATTAACTGATGGGAGAAATACACTAACACGTACCACTAAGCTGATTGAGTATGGTCTCGTACATAACTCTGGCTGTGTAAAACTCGATGCAGCAAACATGACTGGTAAGGATCCCTAACTTCTGTAGCACAGCAGTTGTGACCAGAGTCTTGCCAGTGCCGCTATGGCCATACAGAAATATACTGCATGGCAACACACAATCATCCTGCAAATTTTTTTTTAATTACTATACTTGATCAGCCTCTTTATCCTGCTTCAGAATGGACCAGATGTAAAAAGCACATTAAAAACTAAATTCTATAGTTTTAAGCTATTTAATGAAGAATTTTTGTAATTAATCCCTCCATTTGGTTCTTTTAGTTATCTATAAATGTATCCTCAAATATATGGGAAATATATTTTAATGTCTTAATACGCAAGTCAAGAAGTATGAGAAAAATATGCCTCGACTTGTTTTATTCAAGGCTCTCGCTAGCCGAGCTTACATCCTGTTGGGAAACTTTGATAAATTAAAACATTAAATATGATAAGGATTTAGAATACTTTAAGCAATAAAGTGAGCCCTCAGATGATTAGGGCTCATTAAAGGATGCAGGATTGGTAAATCGATTAGTTTTCAAATAATCAATCGGCTGCAGTTTGGAGCGACTAGCTAGCACTACTCAAGCAATGTTGATGCATTCACTTCCCTTACAGCTTTCACAACTGATTCTTAAAATGTGATTTCCAAAGAATGCTGAAATTCATTCTGTCATCCTTCAATGAATAAGTAAATGAAAATATAGCTTTACATTTTTTGTCACTATGTTATGCTCCCCTCAATTCAAATTATCCATCTTGTCTTAAGTTCTCTGAAATAGCATTGTACAAAAATTACTTTTAAAAATTCTGTGTTAAATTTGAACATTACAAATTGTGAAAGCATTTCTTTAAAGTGGATAAGAGCTTGCCATGTTCTTTAAAACATGTCTTAACATTCCCTCTTAAGACTGATGTGACACAGCAATATCCCTACCACTTCTTTTGCAATATTCACATTCAATCCCACTTCCTCACATGCTTGCTCATGTCTACTGGTATATATCTCCTCCATGGCCTTCCTCTCCTCTTACCTTAAATTTCACTTGAATTTTCTCTCTTAACTGCTCAATTATGACCTACTAACTAGAGCACATCCAAACCATCTCATTAAACACTCTTTGATTATTCAGTACTCTATCAGTCCTAATAACATTAACAAATTCATCTCAGTGTCCAGTTTTAGATCTTGAACTCTTGATTTTCCCGTTCATGTCACCGCAGCATCTCGCATCTGTACACAAAGAGTATGCACTGCCATTCCTGTGCAACCATCTAGCTGCCTCCCTTTTTTATCTTATTCTTCCTAACAAGACCTACTTTCCTTGCCAGACTTGCACTGATCGTGATCTATCCTGCACAAACTGTTGTTTTGTCAGTTGCTGTGCTCACTTATTGAGCACAGCAACTGACAAAACTCACTTATTGAACACAGCAAATGACTCGCTTATTTTTCCAACCATTACTATCATCCACACTCACTTTTGGCAGTCATCTTTCATATACATCCACTTAACCCTCATCTGATCTGACAATACCTTTAGCATTATCTGCTAGAACTGTATAATCTACATACATCAGATTGATTAATTCCATTTATGTGTATTCTTCCTGTAGCATATAGCACTTTAAACTGAATTGTTGAAAGGATGCTTTAAGCCAAGATGAAATGTCACATACAGGATAAAATGGGTTAAATATATCACTCTTACCTGCCCAAGAAGACTGGTCAAGAGATCGATCTGAGCTTTACGACACGGAATGTGCTCCTCCAAGTCATTCATAGTTTCTTCCACCTTCGTTTACTGTTGTCACTGTAAGTAAATGGTAAGAAATGCAATTATTGTACCGTACAGTATTTCTTTTTACAAAAACTGGAAAACCAAGGCCTCAAGTATAAAATATATAAAAAGCATCTTTCTAGGTAGGAAACCTGGTTGCTTCCTTAGACAAGGTCCTGTTGGGTTAACGAACAGTATCATGGATTTACAACATAGGTCAACATTCTGCTCTGGTCCAACAGATGTTTTGAACATTCTTTTTGGACCATTCTGTTTAAAGTGAACACTAGAGAATGTTCAAATCAGTCCGAAATGACCTCTCATTAAAATAAAACTCAAAATACCAGGCAAATACTAGTTGGTAACAGATACAGATAACGAATGTTAATTAATCATTGAATGGTGAACTTGGCTGCTACCCCCAGTCACCATCAGGTGGCAAAAACTATATGATTGGGTTCCCTGACTTTGTCCACTTCACATTTTACTTGACAGAACTCTTCCCCCCCCCCCCCAAAAAAAAAATCAAGATCCAGAAAAGCTGGATACTTCCTGCTGTTGCCACCTTGTTGTGAAACTGTGGGAAAGCAGTGGTTACATTCCGCCATTGTTCACTTTCCCACAAATTGATGGAGATACCCAGAGCATTTTATTCATATTGTTTAACATTTGTTTTTTCCTCAGGATAGTTTTTTATAAGATTGGTGTCCAGCGATGACATTCAGTGGTGATAAGTGTTGTGAAACAAACAACTCATAAAATACACAATTATCTGGAAAATTTATTTTTACAGAAAAATATCATGATCTCTGGTCAAGGTGGTTAACCAATCATAAATATTAACTGGTATTATTATTTAGGGTGAGAGGTCATTTCAGACAGGTATATAATTTTTTAAAGGCCACTGCCAATGTTTTGTAGCAGCTTCATCTGAAAATTACCCACCAAACTGTAGAGCCAATGAATGCCAAGAACTGCAGGAATAGTAACTGAAGTTACCATCAAGGGGTCTGATGGAAATTGTAATGAATAAAGTCCTAATTCTAAGTCTCTAATAGAGGTGTAAATGCCTCAATGTTTGACCCTAGTCCAACTAGATCAGCAGATTGATTCAGCTAGGCAATACTATATTCGCTCACTTATCCAAATTCCTCTAAACTGAATATTTGCATCATCCGGCCAAAATTGTGTCCAGATAATTTTCTGCCAAACTTTGCCATATCTAGACTGAAATCCGGATAACCAGAGTTGGCCAGATAACGTAAAACTGGAACAGAATCAAAGTCCGGATAATTTTATGGCAAAACTTCGCCATATCCGGATAACCAGAGATTAGATTAATTCAGCTTTCAAGAACTACACATTTCAGGATCTACAGTATCAAGCAAGAAGACACTGCAACAAGGTAAGCTTTAGTTTCTCTCTTTGATTTATCGAGTGTGAAAATTCAAGATGTTGGCTGTGGTACAAAAAAATTTGAATATGGTCATTTTTCCCATTAAGAATTCTGCTTATCCTTCAAGGTCCTGCTTATCCTGCTCGGGGTCCTTCCCATGTAGTCCGGATAAGTGAGCTATACAGTTCTACAGTACTATAATCTAAGTATGATAAAATTAGAAAGTAGAGGTTAGAGTATTGGCAACTTAAAGAGGTATGCGACACTACCCTAAAAAATGATGGTGCAATCCACAAAAGATAATGGATATGAATTGATTGGACAATGACAATAAAAAATGATCAAAAACTGCCCATAAATAAGAGTGCAAAATGTGAAAAATAGAAAAGATATTAGTGCATCTCATCTGGGCCTACAGATGTAGACCTGCATAACAAGAACAAACAAATTCAGCAAGCATAAATCAATTGTTATAAGACTGGTATAGAGCACATTAAACAAAAATTCAAGAGCAGGGATTCAATAATAGTCCTACAGAAGAGAAAGCCAGGTCCCTAGAGGATACTAGTGCATATAGTAGAGAAAAGAGCACCAACTATTCACAATGGACACAGGATCACCAGACGAATAAATTTAAAAACAAGACGGACTCTGCCACCAGCTATCATATGTGTCTTTTCCCACACACTGAAGGGTAATGTTAACAGAGATGGAGACTAATGATTGCCAACTACTGTCATGTGTTTTAATATTCAAAATTACTCATCATGCTAACACACTGGCTAACTGAACCAGTGAAATGGATAAGGGTTATATGCACTGCCCGAAACGCATTGCGTAATAGTGGCTTTAGGCATTGTATGTACAGTACTAGCTCTATCTATATATCGATCCATTAATGTAACATCACTTGTATGTATGTACCTTTCCTGAATAAACATATTTATTCCTGAATAAACATATCAGGTTTATCTACATAATAATAATAATAATTAAATAATAATAATAATAAAATGCACCGACATCATTGACACATTCATTATTTCACTAAGAAACAAAGCATTTAGAATGATTTGAAGAGAAACAAGGTACTGAATTTATGGCTGCATGAATAATGAAGAGACCAATGATAAAGATCTTTTCACTGTATGAATGGCATTACAGGAACTTGTAGCCAGGGATTTGGATAATTTTATCTGCTTTGTGAAAGTGCAATTGAAGAGTTGGAAGAGAGGGATGAGAGGCTGGAAGATAACAATAAGAAAATTATCAGTATTATGAAGGCTGGCACCTTCATAAAACTGGATGAAAGTTTGCCAAAGTCTCAAAAGACCCTCTTTCCCCGAATTCTCCAGCCTGGAGACCCACAGATCCATACCTACATAGCCAACCTCATGTCCTTGTTTAGCAACATTAATTACATGCCATCCACTTGGATGCTACAATTGACCACCCATATGGAACAGTGTACAAGTCCTCGCACCAAGTTAAGGCTCTGTCCAAGGAGAAAAAAAAAGGCAACCCAAAATTTTTGTTATTTAGTTTGTCAGAGTGCAAGGAGGAAATTAATACAAATGTTGATGAAAATTATATATTGTAAATAAAGTACATGGGCACAATAATATTGTTATTTTCTCTGAAAGTGTATGCACCTTGTTTAAATGAAATTTTCTATAGTATTTTTTGTTTTTCCTTAAAGCTTATCACAGTGGATATTGCAGACTTAACCATAAAAAAAAAGCAATTCAGTTATCACTATACTGTATAATAAAGGCAAGATTACCTTGAAATAACATGGCCAGTAGATGAATATTATGTTATATATTTTAACAAACAGTGTTTCAATACTGCTTTTATTAACATAACTACCTGCTCATAGGTCACGATTCAGTGTTTCAAAATAATCACCAGCGTTTATCATACCAACTCCAATCAGCTTTCCAAGACATTTTAATACAGCATTTGAGGAACACTTAAATTTTGTTTCTCGTGCAAGTAATTGTAGCGCAGCAGTTGCAGTTTCATCTGTTTACATAGAAATACAGTAAGTACACCATCATTTAAGTATTAATGATCCATTACTTAAAATGTTCAATACTTCACATAAAACAAACTACAGTATATAGTTATTTTACATGCATGTGTTTTTTAGAAATTATATTTCTTACAAAATTAAGGCCCAATGGTTTACATTAAAAAAAAAAAAACTTTCTAAGCACAACCAAATCAAATACAAAATATTTCGTAAAGGCTAGGTTGTGTTAATGTAAAAGATGGAACTTAGTGCAACTGTCATAAGACAATGTGACCTCCAGATATGCAGTATCCTGGTCTGTTACAAGGAATTAGTCTTCATTTCTTTAAGTACATATACTGTAGTACGGTATTGTATAAGGTACATCTTACAAATTATCATCATTCCATGTCTACTTACACCTCTTCAGTATTTTTTTAATCATATTGATTTACACAGTTTACAAGTTGGAGCAAATGTATATTAAAAGCACTCAATAATGAAGTGCACTTCTTAAGTCTGCAGAAATCAAATATGCAATTCAGATGGACATAGGTTGACTTTTTACTATTCAATACCACTAGGTCCAAAAATAAATATTAGCATGTTATGCCAAAGATATTGGTAATTTAATTTACAATTGGACATTATTTCTTCCGACAATTTAAATGGCAAATAAAATGCCAACACAACTATACAGTACTGTATATGGACAATATTTATGTCAATTTAGTTCCAATAAAAGAACATTGATCTTACTGAGTGTACAAGCTAGGAGTAAAGACAATATCTCTCTTTATAGTTGTTGACGCAGCCTCCATTTTCTCCCGAAGATTAGGATCACCAATGATGTGAGCAGCATTTTTTACATCCTTTAGCGTTTCATCTAATCGTTGAATACACTTCACAGTGATTCCTTCTTGGACATCGGTCAATTCCATTATTTTGTTAAATGGCATTCCATGAGCCCACTCATAAACGACCTCAGTCAAGCCAAAGTTGAATTGATCCACAAAGTCACCAACCGGCTCTGGAAGTCCACACTCCTTCTGAACCTCTCCAATACGTTGTGCCACACTCTTAAATTGCTTTATTCCTTTCTTCAGCTCTGCTGTCAAATTTGGCTCACTGCAGTTTTTCTGTTGGAATACCATACTGGAGAGCAATGAAGCAATTATTTCCACTGGGCTATCTGCAAACACATTTTCTAATACTAGTTCAGTTACCATTAGCTCATGGTTTCCCATCTCACATGCAACTCTGCCTTTCAGTGTTACAGTATTGTTATTTTCAATGTAACCAAGCTTTTTAAGTACCTTAATTCTCATTTGGTACTCAGGGTGTAACTGAAGAGCCTCTTCAGACATGAGGAATTTCAAACGACCAACTTGTTCTCGAAGGTTCAACTTAATAAAGGTATGATCGAAGTGCTCCCTGAATTGTGTGCACTCTAGGCATGATCTCTCCACTACTTTTTTCTTTAGTATATCTAGGATATGAATTTGAGATACTGCCGTTATTTCCTTGACACCAAGATCATGTATGAAATTGAGATACACAAGGTTCTCCCCACCAGATTCATTTATACGCTGCAACTCATTTAATACGACCATAACGGATTCAGAAGGTGGGTCAGCTTTAAATCTTGGGATCTGCCGCTTCTTTATATTTTCAATAATTTTTTCTCCATTTACCTTAATAACCTTATTTGTGATTGCAGCTAAATTCTCAGGAACAATGTCTAAGAATGTGTGATCTGAAGTGTCTTCAAGAACTTCAAACTTCTCCTGGCATGCTGCTAGAGCTTCCTTTAACTTAAGTTCTTCTTTTGACAATGAAGTAGGTTCATTTTTGTTTTTTAAAATAAATACAGTCAATTTATTTTTATCCTTAATATCAATTTTCAGCAAACAGGCCAAATAGAACTGATATTGGCCATAGGATATAATGAGAATCCTTCCTGGTGTCATTGCCTTCATTACACCAGGAAATGCAAGGATAAATTTATGAACATGTTTCCGTTGCTCCACATACTCCCTGGCAGAAACATAATACTCATCTATGTCTTTACACATCATGCATTCAAATTCAGGTTCCTTACTTAACTTCATTTCAGCAACCTTCAGTTCCTCTTCATATTTACTCTGGTTTGCCATCTGCAAAACTTCAGAAAAAGATCTTTTCATCATATCCTCTACACTGATGCTCTCAACACGTAAAATGTTAAGTATCATAGAATACGTTAGCTTGAACCTTGACTCCAACTTGGTGGGCTTCCCCAACATCATCCGATGAAGATCAGATAACTCTGGTACATCTGTTTTACACAGAATAATAACTGTCCCGGTAGTATCCAAGCCTCTACGGCCAGCACGGCCTGCCATCTGGATATATTCGCTCGGTACTAAGTCACGGAAACCGGTTCCATCATGTTTCCTAATTGAATCAAATATCACACATCTTGCAGGCATGTTTACACCCATTGCAAATGTTTCTGTTGCAAACAGAAGCTTTACAAGTCCTTTGGCAAACAGCATTTCTACAACTTCCTTCAGGATGGGAAGAATGCCACTGTGGTGAATGCCAATGCCTTTAAGTAATAAATTTCTCATGTAAATGACCTGAGGTAATTCTTTATCTGTTCCCTGAAGTCTATCTATACACTTCTTAATAAAAGAATGTATCTCCCCCTTTTCTCTATTTGTTGTCAAGTCTTGGCTCATCAGCTGAGTAGCATTACTATCACATCGCTTTTTAGACAGAGTGAAAGCTACAATGGGCAACAAGTCTCTTCTACTCAAGTGGTCAACAAGACCAATCCACATATTTTTCTCCTGCTTTTCTCCCATATGATGTCTTCCTTGCTTTGGCCCCTGAATCTGTTGACTTTTCTTACTCCTTTCATTCTTTGCTGCCACGGCATCATTGTAACCCTTAGTGATAAAGGTGCCACTAGCATCTACTAACAAGAAGCGTTCATCTTTGGTCTTACCACCAGTGCCAGTGTACAAATAGTGCTCTAAAGGTACAGGACGCTTACTGGTGCTAATTACATAGATTTTTCTTTTCTTAATTCTACCGATCCAATCAGCAAATTCAATTGTATTGGGCACTGTTGCAGACAGTAGCACAATATTGACAGTACTAGGCAACATTATTAACACTTCCTCCCATACATGGCCTCTTTCAGCATTATTAATATAGTGAACTTCATCAAAAATAACCCACTCTAAGTCTCTTATCAAATCACTGCCATTGTATAGCATAGACTGTAAAATTTCTGTTGTCATGATTAAACAAGATGCTTTTGGGTTAATTTGAATATCACCTGTCAAAAGACCCACATCATCAAATTTTATTTTAAAATCTCTGTATTTCTGATTTGAAAGTGCTTTAATTGGAGAAGTATAAACTGCTCGAGTCATATGTTTTAATGTCAATGCAATTGCATATTCAGCCACTACTGTTTTTCCAGCAGAGGTGTGGGCAGCTACAAACACACAATCATGCTTCTCCAAGTGCAAAATTGCTTGCTTTTGAAATGTATCTAGTTCAAATGGGTATGTGCAGGCAGGGTTGGGAACTTGCGAGTTAAAGTCATCAACTGGAGAATTAATATCAACATTTTCTGCCCACTCTGTGTTAACCACCACAGTTGTAGATTTTGAACCATCACTTATATTTAATACAAATTCATCTTTTTTCGGGGGTGGTTCAATGTTAAAATTGCTAACAAGTGTAGTGTCTTCTTCATTCAGCCCTTCTAAAGTTAAAGCAAGTTCTTTCTTTTCAACCTTTTCAGTTTTCTCATCAAAGATTTTAAGTACATTTTCATCCACTTTTAGCATATCTGTTATGCTAACAACTAATTCGGGTGCAATTGGGGTTGGTTTTTCTTCCTCTTTTTCTTCAATCAAATTTACTGGTTCTTCAAAATCCATTCCCCGAGATAGTCTTGGATGCTTTGTGAGATAATTACTCCTATCGAGTTGAAATTCTTCCTCAACAGACTTCTTATCCAGAGCTGGTTCTGGGAAGCCACCTGGCCAGAAAGGAAAGTTAGTCGAGGAGCCCCTAACAATCTCCTCAGGAGGACCTGGTGCACGTCTCATGGAGAGAGAATTTTTAGCTGTAGCTCCTGCATCCCTGTTTACAATTTCACGAAGCCCAGAAATTTCACCCGTGGCAGGGTCCCGCTCGACTTCAAGACACGAACTTGCTGGTAACAAAGAAACACTGTAGAGACGAGTGGGATTTGGGTGCCTGGGAAACCATCGTCTGGAATGAACAGGGTCATGGATGGGTAGCTTCTCGGGGGTCAAAAGATATTCCTCTATTTGTTCTTTAAGGCTTGGCAGAACCGGGGGCAAGTGGCCAAGGAGTCTTTCTAGTGCATCCATGATATCCTTCAGCACCTGAAAAAGATTAAAAATCTTCAATGCATGTCAATGAATATACTGTACTAGACAATGCTACACAGTTCCATGAAAAATAATCTATAGATACAAACAAAATAATACTGTAAAAAGCAAATTTGCTTATTTTATTAACTCACATGTAACTGCATAAGACAATGGACCATACTTAAAACAATTTGCTTCACATTTAATGAATATACAATTTCATAAATTACAACATATACAAGTACAGTACTGTACAATATACCAAGGCCCAAATGACTGAGCCCCACCAAGATAATTGGGACAAAAGATAATCAATATAATAATAATCAATTCAAATATAATCAATTCAGAGTCAATAATTGCTCTGAAGCTACAAATTAGCAACTACCACTACATAGATCATGACAAGGTCGTAGTATTAACTAGTACCCATTTGAGGGAGGTGGCCAATATTTTACAATATAATCTCGTCCAAGTATACTAAGGGAAGACGAATTAAAGACCGAGAATGGGAAGCAACCGACGTGTCCTTCTGAAAGGGATGTTTAATCCACTTGACACATTTCTGAGCAAGGCCCAATCGGCTGTTCCTCATGCCATCTCTCCATGATGCAAATCTACGCTTATGTGAAAACCAACCAACAGGAACTTACCTAAGGAAGCAGCAGCAAGAGGCACATAGGATCTGTCAGGAGATAAACTGACTGCATCTCAGAGATAACAGTCAATTCAAGACGACTTGCCAGGAACAGCAATGTGGCAGAAGCAGAGGAGAATGGGCAGCAAAGGTTTGGGCTGATCCACACAAGCTTCAAGCCCAGAGAGTGGAAACAAGCTCTTGCTGAGAAATGTACTCTGAAGGTCCCTGGTATCCAGTTACTGTGCTTGGACCATTTTTGTATATAATATAGCGACTCGTACAAAAAAAAACAAAAAAAATTGCACACATTTGGACAGGTAGATTTGTAAACCTCATCCTGGAGACATTCATATATCAACACATTAAGTAGGCCACAAGAATGGGGGAAAGGAAATGTTCCATCACTACTGGATTTAGTATTCACCAAGAATGAGAGATATTTGACATTCAGTACATTCCTCCCTTAGGAAAGAGTGATCATGTTGTGTTGAAAATTAAATATGCAATGCGATATATTCAAGAAGATAAAGGGGAAATTTAAATAGTTAAGAAACTTGATTTCAAGAGAGGACACTATGGAGCACTTAGCAAATTCTATAATGAATTTAAATCGACTCATTGCTAGGCAAGGACGTTAATGAGATGTACGCTAAATTCTGTAACATATAGTACAATGAAAGCATAAAATTATACCATAACAGATGCCGAACCAGAAAACAGGATTGGTTCAACAGAAATTAAGAGCCAGAAAGGAATAGACAAGAAAATGAGTACAAGAAGAGGCCTAACCCTCAAACATACCAGGACTACAACCAAGCAAGAAACTAATGCACAGCAGTGAGGAGAGGCAGAAAGGAACTTAAGAGAAAGGGGTAGCGGACAAATAACAGATCCAGGCCTTTTCTAAAAATTCACTAAGAGTAAACTGCATGTAACGGATAAAATCCAGGAGATTAAGAATGGGGAGCATATTCACAGAAAAAAAAAAGAAAATGCGCGACACTAAATAAACAGCTCTAAAGTGAGTTTGTGCAAAATGAGCTTTTACGAGAACCAGACAATGCAATTTCCAGAGAACACCATAGAGTACTGTCACGTGAATCCCCTGCATAGCAGTGGAACTGCCTTTCCTACTCACCCTCAATGCCTCTGCACTTTAAGTCCACCTCTACACCACCCCAGATGAGTCATCAATCCTGCTATGTCTCCACCTCTCTGTACCCCCTCCAAGGCCTGGCACGGCCCGGTACGACTCGGCGGTAAGCCAAGCGCCTCAGCTAACCGGCAGTTTGCCATTACAAACAAGCAGTTAGCTGCCTTCAACTAGCATTGCGGCCGCCTCAACACAAAGGCGCCGCCAGCCACAAACTAGCAGTTTGCTAGTGGTGCTTATTACCACCTTGTGATGACACCAGATGAATCATCACCGCCTGACTATATAAAGGGCACCGCCTCCCTAGGGAGCCAGTCTCTCTCAGTGCTCTTGGATCACCTTAGCCTCCTGCAACGCCGTCTGCCCTGAGCCTATGTCGTGTGCTGGATGCTGTGGTGGTATAGTATTGCCTTCAGCACAGTATACTCTTGCATTGTATTAGACTTTCACTGTAAACTTTCATTTACTTATTTTATTTGTTCTATATTAACAGCCAAGTGTTCTCAGGTGCCATTTTTGTTCATTAATATTTAAGTCAATTATTTAAATTATTTATTTGATGATCTTCATTTGTTTCCACCTGCGTCTTAAACACTGCAAGGGCCAATGCAATTTAATTTTAAATGTCCTAGCTCTAAATGCATGGCAGTGACTTCGGCCATGGGCAAGTGCCAATTCAGCACCAAGTAAGCTGTCAAGGAGTACTTACAGTAATCTGTTTATTTGTTGTGTAACAACTTGCAACACATTTTTTACCTCAAGCATTTTCCCTCTCATTTCCTACCTAGATTCCCAGTTATGGTCAGTTGTTAAACCACATTTCTTCCTTTTGTTACTTGAACAAGTGCCTTGTAGTTTGTGCACTTTTTATATTCCATCCCTGCACTATGCTTTCTCTCATGCATTTCTCACCTTTTTAAAGTACAGTATTTACAGTAATTTCGTTTACACAGTAATAGGTGCTTAAATAAGTGAGGAAAAGGAAACATTTATGTTTGGAAGACTTTGTTATTTGCGAAATTAAATTTACTTTACACAATGTTTACTTTGAACGTGTTTTTTTCTAGGCACACGACCCTTGCATAGATCCATTGTCGGCAGTATACAGATTACAACAAAACACTTTTCAGTTAATAATCACCAGTGACAGTTAAATCACTGTGCTACATGCAGTAATGAATACAAGTCATAGTAAAAATATAATTAAATGTTACCTGCAAAAAGCTTTAAATATTTGGGTCCCTGGAGATGAAACAGACATAAAACACGATAAGGAGTATCTGTAAGAACTCTTCTAAAACTATCAAATAACCAAGTGCCTTAGGCTGGCAACTTAAATAAAACATTCCTGAACAGTTTTCAACAACCAAAACAAGACTACTAATTTGACATGGCCATGACATTTTTATCCAATTTACGACTATTCCCTTTCCCAAATGAAAACTTAGGCGAAGCTCAAGGCCCTTACCTGTCCTCAGGACCTGGTGCAGTCCGCCAACAGTCCCAGGAATGACAGTTGCTGCAGAAATAACGGGAAGACTTGGGAAGACTTGCCAAGACAGCCGTCGTGGACACGTTCCTCCCCGCCGTCACCCACCATCTCCTCCCCCTATACACCACTCCCATACACAACAACATATCCCTCACCAAACCACGCATTATACAGAGGGGGGTAATCGGCAATCTTTTTAGAACTAACTATAAGAATAATACAATACCTAGAAGGTGAGAAAACTGGGTTAATACGAAGGTAGGAGTTAAGTTGGACGGAGTGGCGGGAACGCTGACGCAGGCGCAGTAGGGCATCTCACAGGTAAACACTTTATCCCGACCCACTCACACACTATCACATTAACCTACAAATTGTATAAAAACTGGGGAAATTTAATCCACATGGTGACATATGATATTCTACTTAGATTTTATACATTTAATTCCTATATTATATTATTGTTTCTAATTGATAATAATGGTGGTGGGTAATAAATCCTGCAAGCCAAAAGCCTGGCCACAACTCGAACAAGTTGGTGTGCGCGAGGATCTAGATGTAATAGACATTGATCACATGCAAAGACTGTTAATTGTTAAAATGTTTGAGTCTTTAAGAAAAAATATACAAACCGTTCAGGATGGAATAACAGCAGGGTGAGTTTTATAGCCTTGATGGACAGAAACGTTGATGATGACTGGAACAATGATTTAAGTCTTTTTATCTTTATTTTGCTTATGAAGATGGGACTTTTTCAGACAATCTCATTGTCTATTGCTGGAATATAACTACAGTATGGGGAAATATATGGTCATTACACTATAGATTTTTTATTTTGTTTACAAGAGCGTTGACTTTCTGAATTATGGTAATTTTGTGTGCAAGTGTTATGCACATTAATAGTTTCCTACATAAATGCTTATTTTTAAATATATTTGATGCATTTGAACATATTTATACATCCACAAATACAGTGTACTTTATACATTTTTAGTGCATATTATGTGTTGGATTAGCTTAAATTCGGTATACAAACTGCTGTACAAAGTTACATCTATATCAGTTTTTTAAATGGTTTATATTACTAAGAGGCTTAGCTAGGATACAACTTGCTTTGTACAGAAAGTTTCTGTATACTGTAGTTATTAAATTGTAACCCAAAATATCACTACATTATAAATGTGTGGAATATGGGCTATTTTAACTTCATGACTATTGCACAAAACAGTTATAACACAATGTAGGGTGATGATAGTATAGTTGGGTTTACTCCAGGCTCGGGAATACTGGGTTCAAATCCCGGGCGGAACAGAAAGGGTTGGGCGCATTTTCTACCATTAAATGCTAGTGGCTTTACAAGAATGTTAATTCAACTTATTTTCTATATTCTCTGTTAACCCCCAATGTAACTTCTTGTATATAAATAAATACATAAATAAATGCTCACCTAGCAGTAAAGGTGAGTTCTATAGTTCTACTCCCCGAAGTCAAGCTCGGGGAGTAGAAGAACTCTCGAAATCCTCATTATGTAAACCCTCTCCAGGTGAGGCATAAGTTACAGAGAAAACATTTGTTTATAGTGCAATGTAGTGGCAGTGCAAATGAAGGTAGTCAGCCTGTGAGGTTGCATCCTAGTGAGGGGTCTGTAGTTCAAGCTTGAAGGGGGTGGGGGGGGGGAAGGGATCAGGGTACTCTGATGTAAGCCTAACATGTATATATATATACTGGCTACCTGTGTAATATAATTATATATATTACACAGTACAGTACATATAATAGACAAAATTACCAGTGTTACATGTAATCTACAAATGGTGAAGCACAAAGAGACGAAATTTAGTGTTTGCGATATGGCTACTGCCTGAACTTGGAGGCCTAAGCTATGGGAGATTATGGGAGCTTAATTTAACAACTCTAGATTAAAAAATAACCAGGGGGGAATATGATTATTCATACTGTATCTTACCAAATTATTGTATAAAATGGTTTAGATACAGCTTAGACATAATGTAGTAAAGTTTCTGAAGTTCATTTTATAATACAATATCTCGAGGAACTGCACTTTGCTAGTCACACCCACTTTGCATTTGTTTGTACTCATTTACAAAATTCCATATTCATGCACACGTACAGCTCTCTCCACATTTTGTGCTTTTCTTGATTACAGTATTTTGTATATAATATTTAACAGCTTTTTTTTTCAAACTTTTAGCAAGGAAGATGTGTAAACTTTCACATTTAGTATCAAATTTTGTTAGTCCAGAGGACCTATGAGATAAACTTTGCTTGTTATAAGTTATTGTATACAGAATAAATTATTTTCATAATTTTAACAAGATTACAGCGGCTGTCCGTGGGAGAGCGACCGCCAACGACACCAACGGAATCTCATGTAAATCTTGCTGCTGGCTCGGATCTGCTGCAAATGTACCAGACACAATGGGCCACAATGCATCACATGGCAGAGCAAAATGCTAAAGTTGCTCAGGTGGGTGTTTTTGTAATTTTTCTCGTCAGTCGTTGCAGCTATGTGAAGAGCATAACTGTTAGATGATTGATGTGGGGAATAATATAATAATCTGTATAGGGTATCCAAGTTTATATTCTGTTTATCTACATATACCTTTGCAAGTGCTTATACCTTATATGCTCGGGCAACACCTCACCGTTCTCCAAAGGTTGACAGGAATATTATGTGGAAGTTGGGAAAGGTTTGAGTTCCATAATTAGTACAAAAAGGGCTTTGCTTCTCTCATTAGGCTAATGCGCTTGGAGCGAGTATATTATTGGGATAATCTACTCGCTACAGATCTTTGATAAGAGAACAAAATGCACTTGCTTACAAATATATTGCAAGTGTTCTATATCCTTGTACAATAAATGTGATATAAATTATATTGCTAACATATTCTTCAATATTTCACCCGATATGACTTGATGATTGTTTGAACAGATTTATAACGCTTACTCTCAAGAAATTAATATTTGGTATTGTTACTTCTTATTTATTTATTTATTTATTTATTTATGCATATACAAGAATGTACATAAGGAATGTGAGGATACAAATATGGTAATTACAGTCTTGTAAAGCCACTAGCACGCGCAGCGTTTCGGGCAGGTCCTTAATCTAAGAAAATTTTAAGGAGGTAAATACTTGCAAAATTATAGACAAAAAATGATAACAGATTACATGAAATGAAAAAAAGATGAGAGAAAATTGTAGGTACAGTATATTAAAGCACATAGGTAGCTAAGATTGATTGCAATGACAGCTTGAATGGTAGTTGACAAAAAAATTGGTAGGCATAATACAGCAGAAACAATATAAGATTGGTTGCAATGACAGCTTGAATGGTAGTTGACAAAAATTGGTAGTCACAATACAGCATATGGCTAGCACATAAAAGAAGACAGCAATGAACACAATGATAAGGTTGTTTGAAATTACATAAAAATTAGGAGATTGGGTAACACTAGGTACAGAGCAAATTTAAAGCTCAGTGTAGGAAACTAAGAAGATGAAGTTAGGTACTTTTTGGTTTTGCTTTTAAATAAGGCAAAAGTTTTACAGTTTTTCAATTCACTAGGGAGTGAGTTCCATAAACTAGGTCCCTTAATTTGCATAGAGTGTTTACACAGATTAAGTTTGACCCTGGGGATATCAAAGAGATATTTATTTCTGGTGTGGTGATAATGGGTCCTATTACATCTGTCCAGGGAGAGTTTCAGAGCATGGTTTGCATTTAAGAACAGGGTTTTGTAAATGTAGTTGACACAAGAGAATGTGTGGAGGGAGTTAATATTTAGCAAGTTTAGGGATTTAAACAAGGGAGCTGAGTGTTGTCTGAAAGCTGAGTTAGTTATCATTCTGATAGCAGATTTTTGCTGTGTGATGATGGGCTTAAGGTGGTTTGCAGTGGTAGACCCCCATGCACAGATGCCATAATTAAGATAGGGGTAAATTAGTGCATAATATAGTGAGAGGAGAGCAGAGTTAGGAACATAATATCTGATTTTGGAGAGTATACCAACTGTCTTAGAGACTTTCTTAGTTATGTGTTGAATGTGGGTGCTGAAGTTGAGTCTCTTGTCTAGGAATAGGCCAAGAAACTTGCCATCATCTTTATTACTGATGTTAATGTTGTCTATCTGTAGCTGAATTGCATTTGATGATTTGCTTCCAAATAAGATGTAGTAAGTCTTTTCGATGTTTAATGTTAGTTTGTTCGTTGACATCCATAAGTGGACTTTTTTAATTCATTATTCACAACATTATTTAGTGTATGTGGGTTGAGGTTTGAATAGATAAGAGTAGTATCGTCAGCAAACAGTATAGGTTTGAGAATATTAGAGACATTAGGCAGATCGTTTATATATATAAGAAATAGAAGAGGTCCTAAGATGCTGCCCTGTGGCACTCCAACGGTAATTGGTAGAGTGGACGAAGTTGTATCATTGATGGTTACATATTGGTGTCTGTCACTAAGATAGGATCGGATGTAGTCAAGGGCAAGGCCTCGGATTCCATAATGCTGGAGTTTAAGTAAGAGGTAGTTGTGATTAACAGTATCAAAGGCTTTTCTTAGGTCAATGGAGAGTCCAATCGGAAACTCATTTTTGTCAAGGGCTGAGTAGATAACGTCAAGGAGACTAATGATTGCATCGTTGGTGCTCTTTTGGGACCGGAAGCCAAACTGGCAGGGGCTGAGTATGTCGAATTTTACGAGGTAGGAATAGAGCTGTTTGTAAATAATTTTTTCAAATATTTTTGATAGAATGGGTAGATTTGATATTGGTCTATAATTGTTTATGTCCGCCGGATTGCCTCCTTTATGGACTGGCGTTACTCTTGCTTTTTTGAGGATATCAGGGAAGGTGTGACACTCTATAGATTTGTTGAACAGTAGTGCTATGGGTGGGGCAAGGGCATGGGAGGCTCTCTTGTACACAATGGACGGAATTTCACTGGTGTTCCCTGCCTTGGTTTTTAGAGAGTGTATGATGGACACAACATCTGCCGGGCTGATTGGTGAAAGGAGAAGAGAGTTTGGATAGCTGCCTGAGAGATATGTGTTAATATGTGTCTGAGTCTGTGGGATTTTACTGGCAAGATTAGCACCAACCGATGAAAAGAAACTATTAAATTCATTTGCCATTTCTAAATCAGTTGACGGTATATCCCCCTCCTTGTAGAGTTTTATCTGGTTATGTGAGTGTTGCTTAGTTCCTAGGATACTAGAGATAGTTTTCCAAGTGTTTTTCATGTTGCCTTTTGCTTCATTGAATCTATTCACATAATATGCAAGTTTTGCCTTTCTTATGATACTGGTAAGCATTGATGAGTACCTTTTAGCTACTTCCTTTGAAACTAGGCCAATCCTAACTTTCTTCTCATATTCATGTTTCTTGTTGATTGAGTTGAGAATGCCACTTGTGAGCCATGGATTGTTTAATCTTTTGTCAGTTACTTGCTTTGTAAGAAGGGGACAATGAAGGTTGTAGAGGCTTAGAGTTTTGGAGAGGAAGAGGTTAGCTAATGAATTTATATCATGGGTATTATTGAAGTCAGAATCCCAGTTAATATTGTGAAGTGCCTCTGTAAGATTGTCTAAAGCTGATTCACTGTGTAGCCTAAATGAAAGTTTCTTGCTTTTTGGTGGTGTTATGTCCATGTTCGCTATGAGAAAGGTAGGATAGTGGTCAGTTGTTCTGTCGTAGATTATACCAGATACAAGGGGAGCTGTTATGTTTGTCCATATGTGGTCCAAGGTAGTGGCTGATGTTTGAGTGACTCGGGTAGGTTTGGTGATTGTGGGGATTAGCATACAGGAGTTCATGCTGTTAAGGAAATAGTCAACTTGAGAGCAATTTTGTTGACCCAGGTCAATATTAAAGTCTCCTCCCAGAATGATGTGGTTTTTGTTGAGATTGTTGTTTATAATAAGATTCCTTAGGTTGTCTGAGAAAGAAGCTATGTTAGTATTGGGAAATCTATAGATGGCTCCAATAGTCAGGGAGGATTTAAGGGATTTAATTGTAAACTGAGCAAAAGTATATTCACAGTAGTCATCTCTGTCACTAATAACACTGTTGCAGATAAATGTATCTCGGTAATATATAGCTGTGCCACCACCTTTTTTATTAGGCCTACAGTTATGAATGGCTTTATAACCAGCTAAGTTGTAGAGTTGGGTATAGTCTTTATTTAGCCAAGTTTCTGTTAAAATAATGAACGATAGGTTAGTACCTAGTGCTGTGAGTAGTGCATTTAAATCGTCAAAATGTTTACCAAGTGATCTAACATTTTGGTTATAAACTGATAGACAGGTGCTATTTTGGAGTTTGTTTTTAGCCTGGTGTGCTGTGAAATACTTGCAATAATGATGATCAATGTGCTGGTTGGTATAGATATGAGACAGAAGATTTTGATCAGGATCAATATCAGTGTGCATAGAGATGCAGAGGGATCACGATACAAGATACACGATAAAGCAAAACACAAGAATAAGAGCAGATACAATAAAATAGTAACAATTTAGAAGTAAAATAAAGATCCAATAGATAGCCAGGGAGGACACAGAAGTTACATAAAATAAAACACAAAAAATCAGTAGAGACTGACAATATAAATGTAAAATAAAAAATAATAAGAAAAATAATAATCATAAAAAAAATGATCTTGAAGATAATTAGCTTAGTAATGGTTAATTAACAGGGTAATAAAAAGCCCTAGGTTTAGTGACAAGGGGATTAACTAAGAACAAATAATTAAGAGTATAAAACAGGCAAAGATGACAAACAAAAAATAAAGTAAAAATTAAAATAAAAATAAAAATAAACACCTTTGGAAAGGAAAGGCAGAGCTTAAGTACACTTTGGTTGTATGTGAGACTACAAATTATGTTCTGGTTATTCAGCTGATATCCCACAGTCATCCAGGAAAGAAGTGAGGTGTGCTTCAGTGGTTATGACATAAGTTTTTCCAGAGTCAGTCTTCCTAGCTATTATTTTACCATCGCGCACAAAACAATATTTAATAGCAGTGGATCTATTGCGAATTCCACGTAGTTTAAATAAGAGATTTTGTCTGAATCTGGTAAGACATTCGTTCACATAAACCTTGGATTTCATAGCGACTGCAGCAGTGATAAGGTCTGACTTGCGGGAGCAGCTATCTAACTTCACGCGTATCCTTCTGTTGTTTGCACCAGATGATTTGGTACCCACTCTATAAGCTGACTTAATGTCTCTTGCTTCGATTGAATAATTCAACTTAGCACGCAATTCCTGGATCACGATGGCAGTACAGTCTTCTCTGTCAGTTTCATGGGGAAAATCCTGTGATGAGATGATGACAGAATCAAGGAGCTTAAGTTGGTCTGATTCGTCTTGGGTTGCAGTGTGTTGCTGTTGTAGGGAGTTAAAGTGGTTCTCTAACTTTTGTAACATCTCTTCTTGCTTCTTAGAGGTTTCTGCTGGTTTAAAGTTAGTAACCGAAGTCTGAAGAGAGCTTAATTCATGTTCGAGGTGGCCGACTCTGGCAGACAGATCTTGGTTAGCCTTGTGCATTGCCAAAGCATCACTCTGAAGCTTCATTATCAGGTCCGACTGCTCTCGGATTATAGACTTTTGGTCATCATGTATTTGAGTCAATAATCTGAGCCATGGATTATCAGCGGGACGCTTAAAGTCAGTACATGGGGAGGCAGCTCTTTTAAGTTGCTCCATATGGTTACATAACTGTTGTAAGGCTCGAGTCAGTGACGACGCTTCAATCAGCTGGGAAGGTTTGTTATTGTTGACGCAGGGAGGGTCGGTACTCCCCCCGGTAGCCCCTAAGGGGGAGACAGCCGCATTATTCCTGTTGCTAGCTTGGCTGGTTGGGTTCATCCTGGTAGGTGTGCTATCATTCTTTACGGCCTTGCCGAGCTTAGAATTGTTTGGCATGGTAGCAGCAGAGATGTATGCAGCAGATGGGGTAGACTTGTTGATATGGCAGCAGCAAACGTCAGGTTAGCTTCCTCCAGGGAGCAACACTAATGAGGTCGAGATGAGCTAGTAGGTTAGGTTTTGTCGAATATTTCGGTCACATTTAGGTCACTGGGTACTTAGCTGCCTTCTGGGGTTGTTACATCATGTTAGGGATGTTGTGGGCTCAAGGAGCAGCTGATAAAGTTGGAGGGGGAGCAGGGTCGTCAGGAGCGGATGAGCGTTCGAGCGTCCAAGTGAATATTTTAGGAAGTTTTATCTTGATATATATATATATACGGTACCTGTATATATATATTTTGTTTACGCTGACATGACAAAACAATATTAGTTAAATGTTCATGCTTTATTATCTTAAAGCCATTTTTCCTTTGAAGATTTTGTTTCATTGTTAACAGGCTTCAGTATTAATTGGTTTTAGTTTTATATTCAAGTATAGTAATTATAAAACAAATTTCTTTTTACAGAGTATTGATAGTGAAATCACCACACTGGCTGATGAGTGTGAAAACCAGCATAGCCAGATGGCCGAGATTCACTCTCTCTTGGCTCATTTGCCCAATATTATGGCTCAGCTTCACTCCATGCTGGCTACTATAGGTGAGTTATATGCACATATAGAAAGGTTATTGCAGCCTATATGTGGCAGATTAAAAGGAATTTATGTCATATATAGTGACAAATTTGCAGTACTTGCCTAAAAGTTCTCGCCTACTTTTTCTTACAGGCCAGGAGATACGGCTCTTTGGTCTTGCATGTCAACCTTCATTGTACAGGACTGTTTTTAGGAGTACAGTACTGTACTGTAGTTAAAAACTGCTTTCTCAAATAATATATTACAGAGCCAACTAGAGAAAACAATATATTAAGCTTTAATGCTGGCTAAAAAAGAAGACATTTTTTATGTAATTTTTAAATAGAAAGCGAGCTAAGAAAATGTGATTATAATGAATTTGGATTGGCAAGCAAAAATTATCAGTCTGCTAATTTTCATAAGTCTTATCATAAAGAAGTATGGCAAAACCTGTTGTAGGCAGATTAAGCAACCATAAATGCATAAGGTGTACAGTCACCGATTAAGAGTCCAATTGGAGAAAGGTCTTTTTTGAACATAAAAAAGATACAGTATGTACAATGCAGCATTAAAAAATAGCTACATGAACAATATATTTAAGAGAATTCCTATATTGACAGGTTCTATGAGAGGACTCTTTGAAGAAGTTGAAGGTGGCCTCTTGGAACTTCAAGATTTGGATGAAGAACTTTCTCTTCAAGAAATAACACTTGATCTGCGTCTGAGCCTTGCTTTGTCACGGGAAAAATACACACACCGGCTTAATTCTCTTAAAAGTGAGCCTCATATCTACCATGTATTGCAGCATTTTCTAAGCTTTCATATTCTGCTGCTCTAAAAGTTCTACTTTGCACAATGGACAGCAACCTTCCCTGTCAGGCAGGCCAGTACACTGAACCAATGCCACTATGGTCTTTTCAACTGTATCACAGAGTTATGTAAGGTGCTAGGGAATCGCCCGAGAGTTCCTTCTAGTGTAAAATGTACCATTTCTACATTAATTTAGTATTAAAATACATTATGCACAAAAACGAGTTACAATGTTTGCTAGTAAAAATATACTGTATTGATTTTGCTGATCAAAATGACAAAAAAGTACATAAGTAGATAATTACTTGGACAAAACCAAAGGGTGGGGGGGGGGTGTTTGCAACTGGTTTCTCGTACTGTAACAGATGGGGGACTAGCATGAATCAATCCATTCAGGCATAGCTGCACTGTACATTACAGTACTGTTTATGCAAAGTCGTGTATGATATTTGTGTGCAGGCCTATTGTGTCTGGCCTGTTTTCTGAGGCCTTAGTAGTTCTCCAGTGCTTAGTAGTTCTTAGTGTTATGCACTGGTATAGCCAAGCCTTGGGAATCACACCAGGCCTCTTGAGACCCATGTTAACCTACTGTCAACAGAACCAAAACATAGTAGTGTATGGCTTTCACTATGGGATGATGATGAGACATGGAGACCAAAACTGGTAGACACACCAGACAAGCACTTCTGGAAGCTACATATTACAGAACCAACAAGAGTAAGGGGAGAGGACCCACCAGCAACATGTGGGGCCAGGTGTTTTACAAAAAATGAGGCATATATTGAAAAAATAAAGTATGCAATGCCTCTTGTAGAGGTAATTACTGCATTATCATGTTAGAGGACATAATTGAGCTAAAGGATTTGGTTAGATCATGAAACACACTAAAGAAGAAGAAAGATTACAGAAAGGTGAGGGACGATCTGAGTGAAGTCCAATGGGGAGAGAGCTTGAAGGAAGAGCAACAAATGAGATGGTGGAATTCATCTTTTCTTTTTTAATAGGAATCTTTTCCTATTCCAATCATCTCTCTCTTTTCTTCCCACCCCATTGAGGTTATAAATGAAATAATGATGGTGATGTCCTCATTAATACACTGTACTGTATTTTGCTATTTATACTTCATGACAGTTGAACTATCTCCCCTTTCATTCATTGTTACTTCCATCTTGACATGTAATTTTCTATCCAAGGTGCAAGGGATGCTCCATATAAGTGTATGACACTCAACGTGTTATCTTTTACTATATTTCCCACTCTTGGTTTCAAAGAAAGAAAGAAGTATGTTGACCAGACCACACACTAGAAGTTGAAGGGACGACAACGTTTCGATCCGTCCTGGACCATTCTCAAGTCGATTGAGAATGGTCCAGGACGGACCGAAACGTCGTCGTCCCTTCAACTTCTAGTGTGTGGTCTGGTCAACATACTTCAGCCACGTTATTGTGACTCATCGCCTGCCAGAAAGAAGTACAGTATAGCCATATTTATGTAAATATAAATATTTCTGGGGGGGAGCCCCTGCGGCTCCCCGGAGCTTACTAGGTTGATATGCGAATGTCAGACTTTGGTATCAGTCATGTGTATGGAGTTCTGTGGGCCTACCGGGGACCATGAGCCAGAACTTGGCCCCCTCAGAGAGGCATGGGCCTATAGAAACCCCCGTGTGGTTAGAAGCATTCTGTGTCTGCCATTGACCGAGTCAGGCACCCAGAAAGATAAGCATCCCAAAACAAACCCCTATTCTGGTGAAAATATTGCTACCAAAAGCCGAACAAGTGGATAGAACTCCCCTAAAAGAAATGCGCAAACGAGCATGACGTCACATGTCGCCGTGCCGCTGTCTGCACAGCTCCCCCCTCCCTGGGAGGGGGCAGCTGCAGATCTTGCCCAGAAAATGGCGTTTCATTACATTCAACGCTGAGTTTTTTGTTCATGATGAAGTATTTATTAAAATGTAGATTAAAGTAGCTACATATAAAAGAATGTAATTACACATTTCTAAGGTAATTAGAACTGTGTTGAATTTTTGAATCTGAATATTAAAACCTGGAAATGATAAGTTCAGTTGTCAACATTACATATTTATTATTAGAAAATTTATTTCTTGAAGTGTAGCCAAAGTAGGTTGATGGTTGAATGTATCCCTGAATGATTAAGTATTTTACTGTAATATTTGACCTTTAACAGAAGAGCTAACTGTGACTCATCAAGCCAAGATGCTTGCCCTGGAGGAGCACAAGGAGAATGAGCGGAAAGAAAGAGAAAAGGTGTTCTCAGATCAGTTCAGTGAAGATATTAAGTATTACAAAGAACAAGGACGTGTCACAAGTAAGTCCACATCATAATTGTTCAACTGATTTGTTTGTAGAAAGTAATGTCTATACAAGTGATTTACTTCAATTATTATTGAGGTGCACACAGGAAGGGCATGTTAATGGCATTAATGGCATGTCTACTTTCTTGTTTTCCTTATATTTATGTAATTTATAATGGGTTTGATGATGCATAATATTCCTCATTTGTTCATTGTCAGTGTAAAATTTAATTTTGGTTGAAGTGTACATCTCCCCTTACTCTCACTTTCTCTCCCACAAAGCAATGATGCACATAATTCACAATTATTTCTTAACATTCCTTTTAACAACTAATTTACCAGTTGCTCATCTTCAGCATCTTTAATATTCTTGTCACTTTGAATTCTCTATTATATCCATATCCTCATTTCTGGCACTCCTATCCAGTCACTTTTCATGACTAGTGTACCAAACATCACCATTTTAAATTTAGGGTTTTTATATTCTTATCCTATTTATGTCCAGTGACTCTTTACACCAATGTTTTTATCTACAACCCTTTAATTACCTTTATGCAACCTTCAGGTAGGTTGGGCCAGTCAGGCTAGGCAGATTAGTAAGGGTCATATTCAGAGAGTTGTTTGAAGATTAGCTTTTTCCAGACAGTTTGTGAATAAGGGTTAAGCATTCTGATATTTCCCGGGATCTTGGGTGGCTTATCCAGAGTAGTGGGGACATATGGGATCTACATTAGCTACCCTGCCACATGAATGGCATAAGACAGATGGATATGTGCGCATCATGTGCGGTGTGACTTTCATAGGAGCTTGGTGCAGTCACAGTGTCCAATGTAAGTCTGTGACTTTAGCTGAGGAGAACTACTGAAGTGTAGCCTAGAATAGTGGCCATTTCAATAAACTCAGTTTATTTTGATCAGACTTAAACTACTTATATTTTAGATTGACTATTTCTCCTGATTAGGGGCTTAGTCACATGTGAAACCTTTAAACTTATATTTTTGGTAATTACAGGAAGAATTCCAAGCACTGAAGATGAACAGGGACTGAAACTAGAAGAAATTGACTTGGATCATGATACCAGCGAGTTAGACAGTTTCCTCAATGACCCAGCGTGAAAAAGATAAATGCTGTAATTACCCCAGGGATTTTTGAGAGGTTGGAGTATAGTTCATAACTTTATTAAGACTACAGCTCTAGAACAGCTGCAGCATGTGCACCTTTTTCATGATCACAGTGCCATCCCTTGATGGTATCCTTGCCAACCATATCTTCACCTTCATGTATCAAACGTATATAAAAACAATGTACAATACTCATAAATTTTGATTAACAATTTGGAACTTGAGCCTAAGCAACTAAAATTAGGCAAGTGTCCCATGCTCGGACTCAGCACTTAAATTATCAAGTAAGAATGTGGGCTGCCACAACAAGTTTAAGCTATCAGAAAACAAGAATTAATGAAGGTTAAATATGGAGAAATGGGAACATGGAGCAACAGTTGGACATGCTTAATGAAATTAGAAATCGCAATCTGAAGCAGTGTGTGACATTAAAGGTAAGGAGGAATTTAAAATGTTTTTGAAGGATTGTGCAGTGGTTAAGAATTTGTTGCAACAGACTATGCATGACAAGCAATTAATTGAAATTGAGAGAAAGGACATTTATTCGCTGCTCCACAGAAGTGCTTCCATAGACCATGAAGACTAGCACTGATGTAGGATATTTCTCTCTGTATGTATGGAAAAAAGTGTTCATGTAACAGATGAATTGGGGACATTTTATTACTGTACTTTCATCAAAATTTCCTTAAATTTTTCTTTTCAAGTGAAAAATGTGTAAGAAATGTAATCCACTGTTAATCTTCCCAGTATTACCATTTACATATTTGTTTAATTTTTGGGAATGTCATAGAGCTGCTGACTGAAAAGTCACTGATATTTTCTTGTAAAGGATCAAGATATCCTGGTTAATATTTAAAAATGAATATTATTAGCAACAGATTATTATTTAGTGTTTATATGTCAAGGTGAATAGTGCACCTGTCTTGACATAGTCTGAATTTAGAATATTGCATTACAACTAAATTTTAGCATAAGAGTATTTTCTTTATACAGTATAATCATTGCTCAAGAATTTGGCATCCAAAGCTTGGCATCACCTTAAATTGATACATTTTGTTGAAACTGGTGAAATTTTGATGCTATCAAAAGTGTACATGGTTTAGGAAGTCAAATTTGAACAACGTTCAAAGGTCATCAGTTATACAGTATATATCCATAAGGATGATGGGTCCACCATTTATGACATTAAATATGAAAAAATAAAAATATGTAATAATAATATGTAATATTGTTTTAATATAATAAGGAAAACATTGAAGTAAGACAAGCAAGTTAAGGGAAGTGTTAAAGTATTGTATTCCTATCCACCTTCATGCAGACTTGAAGTAGGAATGCACTAATATTTTTAAATCTAATTTACGTAGGAACATCAACAGACACCTCATGCACATGAAGAAATAGCAGTCTTCACCTCAACATATACAGAACTGGGTAAATGAAACCCATTCTGTTAATCACAAAACAACAAGAAGTACAGGTTAATTTCAAATGCTTGCTGGTAACGGTGATTTTTGGGGAGATAGGGGGGGCTCATGAGCTCCCTGAAGCTATCACACACAGCTCGATTCCACAGATACAAATAGTAAATACACACTGAACAGTGCCATACTACTCGGTGCCATCAGTCGTGGAGTTCTATTGGCCTACCGGAGACCACGAGCCAGAACCTGGTCCCCCTCAGAAAGGTGCAGCGAGTGATGGCCTATGAACACTTTACATAATGGTGGCAATCATAATTGCCACCATCAGGGAAGGGACCTAGAAAGTTAGGCAAAACAAAACAGACTACTGCATTGTTAAAATCAGACCACAGCCCCAAAAAATGCCAAATGAACTATTCCTACAATGAAAACAAACCACCAAAATTTTATTAAACTAGAGTGAGCAAGTTTGCCCCACATCCTCTCCCTTGTTTGGAGAGAGGAGGGAAGTGGACCAGGTCAGCCAGACCCCACCACTCAGTTCTATAATGATGAAACATGCTAATGGCCAGGGGGAGGAGGTTGTTAGTTAGCCTCCAGGTCTCGCCCAGAAATTGGAGTTTCATTACATTCAGCACTGGTTTTCTCGGGAGAGCCCCGTTGGCTCCCTGAAGCTAACTACCCACATAGTAGAACAAAAAGGGCACCTCCATTGAGGGGGCAGCACTGCAGGTATCAAAAGATGAAATGGTTGACCTCAACACACTACCCAAGGTAACACAAGGCCGCAGAAGACCAAGAACGGATACAGGATACCGGGCTGACAAGACCTATTTAACCTCCAAAACCACCGTGCCCGAATATCGACCCAAGACATATACAGGTATTAGCAAACACTGCCATCAGAGGGGCATACTTACAGACATCATGGGCACGAGGGCAGACCACAGGCTAGTTAGACGTAATGACACTGCAGGTGACCTGAGAAATACGAGCCCTGGAATAGGGAACCAGGGAAACCAGATCGGCTCATAACAAATCTACTGATACATAACGAATCTTCTGTCATCAATAACTACAGTATCTGTTTAAGTAGAACAACTCCAGCATTCAGGGTAAATAAAACAGTCTATTTATTTTTTCTTAAAAATGTTAAAATTTTGTTGATTTTTGTTGGTCAGAACCTAAGTCATTTATATCATTGCACCTGTGGGAAATGTGGTTCTGAGTACTGAACAAATGACCAGTGAACAATTTTCAGGAATGAAGTACTGTACAGTACTTTTGTTAGATGAGAATGCCTTGTACTCCTTCATCACTTATTTTAAGTGGGGAGTTGTTAAGTACGCACTCGAATACTGTCTACTGTACTGTGTGTGTGTTTTTTGAGGTACCATACTGTATTGGGAAAAAATTTGGACTTTAGGAGGTCTCTGGAATGCAGATACATTTTTCTCATATGTACAGTAGAACTTTAAAATCAATTTGTACGCAGTTTTGCTAGAGCATGTTTTATGCACAGATCGAAAGCCAGCTGTTGCATTATTTGCCTTTTTAATTATACAATATATCGTAATATTTTTGTACATCTGTATATTATTGTATAATATTACAGTATTGTACACATATTGGTATACAGGTATAATAATATATAATATTTTACATTCTGTAAAATTTTATGCTTGAATGGTAATTTACATTATTGTATCCTATTGTACATTATTTTGTAATATTACTTGTATCTTGAGATATGTTTTGGCATAGGTGATGGGGAAACCCTGTGATCAAATCATATGTAATTCATATTAATGTTTTGTTAACATTGCAGGCATTAATATTAAACATAAGAGTAACTATATGACAATAAGCTTACATCATCAGTAAATCTTATCTTCTATGAACTCTTTACACGGGGTTAAGTACATAAAAAAAGTGTTTCTAAATCATTATTTTAAACCAGGATTTGTCACATTGTTAGTTGTTTAATATACTACACAGACATGTAATGTGTATATTTTACACTTCAGTGCTTGGAAAAGATTGGCATTGGCTATGTTGCAGCATAAAATAACATGTATAAGGTATAGTTTGATATGTATTTATTTTAATATAATTTAAATGTACAGTATATTAACATTTCTCCAATTTGCAGGAAAATGGATGAAATAGGTGCACGTAGAAAAGAGGTGTAAGGAAAAATACTGTATGCTATACTGTATCTTTTATTACAATTCCATTTTAATAATATACAGGGTATCTACAAATTATTCACCCCATTATTAGCCTTAATAAATTCTTTATTATGGTTTACTGATATATTGACTGGACTGTGGTAGTCAGTGTCTTATTATGTGTGAATTAGCACAAACTGTTTTAAGACTGTTCCTGTAATAATTAATGTATTAAGGCCTATAATGGAGTAACTAATTTGTAGACCCCATGTATTATATTTTAATTATAGTTTTATTATATGCATTCTCATAAAGTTTAATCTAGTCATTTGATAGTCAATGTCTATAAAGTTGTATGTGTGTTTATTCTGCTGTCTAGGTTTTGAACTAAACAAAATTAGGCCTTGATTTGATCAAATAATATACTTAATGTATGTTGGCTTTCTAAAAATATGAAAAATGTGTGATCTGTATTGATATAAATAATGTACTGTATGTGGGCTTTTCTAAATATATGAAAAATAAATGAGCTTGAATGGATATGTACTTTATATGTACTTTGCATCATCGTGCTATGACTGTCTTTATGATACTGTGCATGCCATCGAGCAGTATATGGTAAACATTTTGAGCAATACGGTGGAACTGAACTCGCATCTCTAGTCCCAACCAGATGCAACCATTACCAACTAGGCAAAGACGAGCTTAAAAGCTTCAATTGCACTGCATTACTCGAAAAGTTTCTCATAGATATATCACGCTTTTGTAATTTTATTGTGCAGTGTATGATGTTTCATTTGTATTGAAACTCACTCTCTTTGGCTTTATCTGTTTAGTATCATCAAATGATCTGCCACACATTTCCTGCTCTTATGATGACCTTTTAAGGTCTACTATATTAGGTGTTTATTCTAATATGTCTTATTGCATCTTTTACCTTCTTCCTCTCTTTTTTTTTCCTCGATTAATTAAATACTGTACTAGTATATGTATTTTCTGAAAGAATCCGATCATTTTAACACCTTTTTCTTAGGTGATACAGATGGCAATTGTCACCTGTGTTATATTCATTCTTGTATGCACTGTTTCTCTGTAAATGTTTCCTTTGCTGCTTCTGAGTAATGAGCCAATGAAGAGGTGAAGGTGGCATGTAGCCAGTTTGGAGACTCATTATTGTACTCTGAATTCAAGGAGATGTATACCTGGTAATAGTAATACCAGCAGTACTGCAATTGATTTACAGGTATCTTAAATACATCATGAATATCTCATTAATTTGTGTGCTTATTACTCACTAAAAGTTAACCCACATGTGTTTCTCATTAATTTTGTAGATTTTATAGATTTTTAGAAGAATCGTGCATCCAAGTGTTTCTTTGTAGTCCAACACAATCTTAAATATTCAGTCCACTAGAGTATAATTTCAATTCTGTTATATATAATTTAATAATATTAACACATTATGGTTATATACAATAGTACAGTACTGTATATATATTTTGTCTTTCATATATGTCTACAATTGAGTAAAAAAAATTACAATAATTGTTATAAGATATAGTATATATACTAAACATTGAAATTGGGTTTGACTATTAGCACAATAATGCTTACAATGTTCTTTCCCAGTTTCTATATACAGTGGATAAATTTTCTGTTTAATGCTAACTTCAGTAAAAACAAAGTTATCATCAATGAAATTAACTGGTCCCACTTACCGAGGCAAAGAATTTACATGTATATAAACAGGCAGATAACTGGATAGACATCACAATAACTATATACCCTGAACCCTTATAACCAGGAGAATAGTAATTAAGATTCATCATTTGAATTGCCATTTTTTTTTCATTTGATGGTGCTACATAGCTTTTCCGGTTTGGTGCCTTCTTTTGATAATTAATTACTTTTTTTTCCCCTCCAAGAATATTCCTGTGTAGGCCTTTGACTGGCCTGCTAGAAAATGGCTGCTTGTTTGACTTGAGGCAAAACCTGTGTTTATATAGTAGTTAAATATATGCTCATTGTTTTGACTGCCTCAAGTGACTGATCCCCTATACTATGGCCAAAAACAATTTATTTAGTCAGATAGACAAATAAGGACATTGACAATACACTGCTGTATATCCCTAAAAACCTTGTCAGGGGATACAATAATAAGTGAATAATGCATATAAAGGCTCTGTTATTTATATTTCTTATCATCAGTGTAATTAAGTGTATAAATATCCAATAGATTCTGAATATGGTTTAGTTTCAATGTATACAAAATATGGAATTATATAATTAATGTAATTTTGATTTTTTAATATTCCATATGACATTTTTACAGCAAATTGTGACTAGTCAGTAGTATTTGCAAGGCTGGTCATTATTATACCTGAAGTCCAGACTGGATCATACCTGGAGTTGGTATGTTAACTTGGTCTAACAGACCTGTTACTTGGAGCAGCTTGCAATTCCATTAACATTTTTCACCATAAGTTCTACTCTGTTACAAACATTGTTGTTGACTGAAAATTTTGTTTCCCATCAATTCCCTTAACTCACATGTCAATTAGATACACTTTCCTTGGTAGTTGAATTTATTTGATAGAACTAAACTTATGTTCTTCTGATCTCGTATTGGCACCTTAAAATTATAGTGGGCCGATGACGTGTTTTAGTGTCATTTGTAATTTTGTGGTAATTAGTGCAGATTCTAAAATGCATAATCCAATCTTAAATTTTGTACCATTTAATCATTACATTTGTGTCAAAACAACCCAAATCTTTTGAAATGTGCAAGCAGAGTTAGACCAACTTGCTGGGCATTAAAGCAACAAAAAAAGCAGTTCTCCCTTGCCAAAACACACACACACACACCACATGACATAACAATGTACTCCAGACTCTAGGTTCTTGTTCTTGAGATTCAAAGTGTTTTTCACAGCTCTTGCACTTATCGTGCTGGAACTATTTGTGAAATTGTAGATAAAGTAATAATGGAGTGGAGAAGATCAGAATACCGTACAGTATATGAAGACATCTGTTAAGAAAGTGAAGGTCACGAGTCTTGAAAAGCTGCAAGGGTTGACATTCATCCAAGAAAAGCTTTACTTCTAAAATTTGTGCTCTGCTGGAAGATTCAGACATGGAGTTCTTTGATAAAGAAACTAAACATAGTGAAACTAATTGTTTTGAGAGCCATGAGGAAGCGATTGAAGAGCTACCGGAAAATTTAAAAAGTTTATTAGCCCACTAGTTTGACAAACATGAGGACAAAGCAATAGACTCCCCATGGCAGGCACTGCTACCCCACCACACAATAGCACAATGCCTTCAATTTCTAGAACCTTTTCTCAAGGTTCAAACACTAATATTACTATGCCCAAAGTGTGTGGTTTTACTGGAACACCAATGGGATCTGTTTAGCTGTTCATTATGAGGGAGTTTCTGAAATGATTTATTATTGAAACAAATTTGCATGCTCAACAAATTTAAGTTCACAGTCATCTAGTACAGAACAATCATTTGATGACATAAATTTTTGTGACTGGGCAGAAGCACAAATCAATTTGTAGGTACTAACATGCATACAATAATAAGTATATACTTGCCTATTGAAAACAAGGACAGACTGAAAAGAAACAGCTTTCTAGATTTTCATGAAATACCGTACACTGCACTAATAAACTTTGATGGCGACAACTGCCCTGAATTAGTCAATTTTATCAAACCCTCGAGACGCAGGCACTCCATGCAGCAGCATGGACGAAGTACATTCTATGCCATCAGCAGGTCCTAGTAGTTAAAGTACAGTACATTATTCTTCTTTCTCTTCCCAATCTTAAACACCTCTTGAGCTCATTACTGGAGCCCTGTACATCCGTTTAGGTGATCTTAACTGGCATGCCCTCTAAGGTGATGATCTGACAAATACCGGAGGTCATCTAGAACTTTTCGTTCCCTCTTCTGTATTTTCTCCTAAATTTCATTGAGCTAATGTGTGTGGCCTACTCTTTCCTGTATGAATCCTGTATCTGTAGGGAGCCACTTGTGTCTCTCAGAAGCTATATACACTTGAGATGATTCCCATCGTACCAGGTAGCATCAGCCGTGGAGTTCTTAGGGCTACCTAAGAACTCCAGTACCTATCACAGACCAGAGCCAGAACCTGGCCCCTCTAACAGAGGCTCAGGAAGAGGTGACATTTCGCTACCTCAACGGATAAAACATGCAGAAAGTCAGGGAGTTAAAACAAATCATTGCTGGGGAGGGGAGGGAAGTAGAGACACTAAAGCCTCACAACCTGCCTAATGAACTCTCCCCAGCTACGCAAACAAATGATCGAATCTCTCAAAATTATCATGAGTCTATTCGCCTCACCTCCCTCCCTCGTTTGGGGAAGGGGCACACCACCATCAGGGGTCTGAGCTGTCAATTCTTATGCTGATACAGTCAAGGTCACTCAACTGCTGTAATGGTTCCCGGGTCGCCTCTCTAACGTGAAGGCTCCACTGTTTAGGTAGTGATTTTGAGGTTTTTCCTTTGGTGGATTTTCTTGTATACTATGGCTTAGCGTGAGCCTGGCTTAGAGTATTTGGAGATGCATGTGCTGAAAGTTACCTTCCCTGTGTGCTCCCCAGTGCTGCCCTTGCTTTGCCAGAATCATCTGGAGTATGTGCTTGTGCCGTGCCTGAGTGTATCGACGCTGAGTTTGTTAAATTTTAAAATTCATGTGGAAAAGATCAACAGGGCAAATTGGGGAGAGGGGACCTTTGGCAAGCCGCCGGCTTCCTGTTCTCGTCGAGGCTACTAGTATTAGTGGCCCTCAGGTAAATTTGAGTCACTCCATTAGTGGTTCTCCTGGCTTGTAGTGGCCTGTGGCCAGGATGAGTCTGGTATTGTGTCTCGTCTGTCTTAACCCGGGTCGGGAGCAACTTTGGCTGACAGGGCGCACTGGTGGTTTGAGATGGTTGTACTGTTGGTCAAACCTTAGGCGCGCTGAGTTTGGCCTTCACAGCCGTGTAATCCAGGCTGTGTCAGCATACCTATAGGGCCACCGTAGAGTCCCCAGTGCCTGGGTGTCCTGCTTGGTTCACCATTCAGGCCATGGTAATTCCCTGCAGGTTTGCTGGTCCTATGGATATCCCTCCAGAACCTGCTCTCGACTTGGACGGGTTTGAAGGTTGCTTGTCGTCTGTGCCTCGAGATGACTATATCAGTTGTTCTGTCTTTTAACACTTTATTGAGGCTTTTTTTTATATAAAATTAGCCAACTTATTTGGTATTTCAGAAAGGTTACTTAATTTAGTTTTAAGAGACGATTATAGGAAATTTCAGGAAATTGTTTGAGAGAAAAAAAGAGGTGGCTGAGAGACTCGGGATAGCTGCTAGAGAGGTAGTCATTTACACAGATTTGATACACTGGAATCTCATTTGCACACACTGTGCTAATGGATGAGACGAAGTTATTGAATTCAGTAGTAGTTCCAGTAGCTGTTAGCATTCCTCAGTCAAGAATTTTTTTATTCGAGTTGTTCTTTGATCCCAATAAATCTTATATTTAGGAAATAGTTCAAATTGTTTTTCATGTAACCATTTATTTGATTAACTTTTTTTCGTAGTGACCATGCGAGTGGTATAATTCAATTATATTTATATTTTGTATTAGTAATGTTTTAACAGCTGAAGATAACTAAAACCCAGCCAAGTCTCGTGACCACTCCTAAGCGACTAAAATGAAAAGTGTTCCATATATATAATCTCGTATCTTCACAGGTGCTCCAAAATCCTCCAGCCCTCCACCACTTATTACATCCAAAAAATACTTGATGAATGAGAATAGACAACGAGCGATCATTTACTTCACGCCTCACAGTTACCATAGTTACCATCAAGGCCATATAAAATATACCAATTCAGCAGCTCGTGTTAACTCATGAAAGTTTGATTGACCCCCTCATTGCTGTGAAGAATATATTATCACTCCTCAACAAGCTTCCATTTTCACATTTCGCTTATGTGGACAATATTTACTTTCTTGCTTCACTATTCACGGAGTGAATGGGGGTAATTAAGCCATGTTTACATCGCTCAAACACGATTAATATCACCCACATAATATTGATATATGAGGCGGGACCAAAGAGACAAAGCCTAACCCCCCGCAAACACAACTAGGTGAGTACAGGCTGTGAAGTGGTCGATCTTTAGGTATACAGTATAACTGAGAAATAACCAACACTCATCCATATATATATACTGTATCTAGAATATTATGGAGTTGTTAAAGAAACAAGAAACAAAACAAAGATATAATAAATATTTGTCATTTATTTCACATCATATCATTTTCATTTAACCGCACATTCCTCACACACATACATGTATATTTGTAAGCTTATACATGCTTTTCTAAACCTAATATCACAGTATAAATGGGAAATGGTATAAAACACATTAACAACTGGCGACCTTAGGAACATAGAAAAGGGTCGGGCTTTTTTTATGGTTTGTAAATATGCCACTTACATAATACGCAAATTTTACAAATTTACTGGCATTTGCTGCTAACTGCACTTCAGTCGTTAGTTATATATTCAGTTTAAAACAAAACAATAAATATATATAAAATAAACACTTTATAGTTCATAAAGACAACTATAATATAACGAAACCAGACATCATTACTAGTATTTTATGCAGCCTTAGAAGCATAGTACACAGCCGTTATTTATCTCCGAGAAAAATTCATTAACACAAGTTGTTGCATAGCAAACGCAGGACCAGTCAATGATAAAGCGTTGTTTAGGGTGACTCGTGAGGGCAATACCTCCAGTACCCGGTACTGGGATGCCACTTCCGATACCGGGGGCGCCACAGCCAACACGGGAAGCTAAGGTTGCAACGTCCATCACCCGGTACTGGGGCCAGCTACACCCATAGGGAGGTTGTGGGGGCCGATATACTCGATCTTGTTTGTCCCCAACACAGCTCAAAGTGTCTCAGCCGAATAACGTGCTGACTCTGCGGCATATTCCTTTGGGATCCTTGACGAACCCGGCAGGACATGCGCCGTTTACGGAGGGAGAGGAGCGTGTGGTGGGAATGATGAACTGTTGGCGGCACTCATTGAGGTAATCACGGAGAGACCCTGCAGGGCATGCTCGCAGGGTGTGCACGTCCAAAATGTTTCTTGTATCAACTTCGAAGGAGCAATCCACTGTATTGGTTTCAGGATAAAAGGTCATTCGGTCTTTATTGCAGTAGCCGAGGTACATCTTACGATAACATTTTCTGGTGACGTCGTCCTTCACGTAGCCGTCCATGACGCATTCATTAGGGACGCACTCTGGTGCACCAGAGGCTGACAACTGGAAATACTCGCCGAAGTTGCAGGATCCTCTCACTTGCGGAGCAAAACATTTACCGCTATATACGTCGTAGATATAGTTCGGCTCACAATCGCACATGGCTACTCCTGAAAATTCGACGTACAGTATTTGTCCATCTTTACACACAGAAAAATCGGATACACTGACACACTTTTCCTTATATTTTAACTGGCCGAAGGGACACGGTCGAGGCTCACATAGAGGCCGATTATCCCGGAGCACCAACCACTGTCCCTCTGCACACGGGCCCAGGGTTAGGAAGCTGTGGCAGGTACCGTTGATTACCATAGAGCCTCCTTGAAGTGAACAGTTTGACTCGGAAGGCACCTCTTTGGGAGTATTTCCGCGTGTGGATGCTGACGAAAACACGACGCCATCTGGGCCAACACCATCTTGACGGTTGGTGCCAGAGGATTGCTTAGACCCCGGGAAGACTAGTGATACCCTGCTACTCTGGCCTCCAGGCGGAGTCTTCATCAAGCTCTTGCCACGTGCCGACAATGGTGAGGCTGCTTCCGCCTCGCCAAATAGAATGGGGTTACCTTTGGCGTCATTATTGTCCAAGAGCCTGGCGTTGGCGTTAGATTTTGGTAAAGACACAGGGGAAGGGGTGATGTTTTCCGCCAGGCAGGCTATCACAACAGCAAATATCACCTTCATACTGAAAATATGTTCACTTGCACTGCAAGCCGTCAGGATTATTGCTACAAGACTGACAAGTAGTCCACGCACGTTCCACCAGCTGTCTGCTTCAACGCTGCAGCCTCTGCTTATATTGCCACCAGCCGCCAACATCCTGCGTGCCAGGAGAAGTTCTCACACACTTCAATATACTCATAAACCAAAGAATAAACTATCCATATTACCAACATATGTACATGTAAAATGTAAACTTTCACTGCATATCGTTTTAATAATCCTTGTTGTTCATTTATTTTCGTAACACATTTATATATTTATCTATTTTTCATATAATATTGAATGTGCATTATATAGAAGCGCGGCAACTGGCGCGGGAGTCCCCCAGCTGGGACGCCTCACAGGCACCAGACGCTCCCACAGGTGTTGCTGCGGGCAGCTCGGCCTCACCAGTAATACAAATCAATGAATGCCATCAGTGTGGTAAGTTATCTGGAACATCTCACGTTTGTTCATTGATTTGCTTACGTTCTGATTAAGGAGGAGTGCGTGTGAGGGGTGAAACATCGCCGTGAGTATGTTGATGAGGAAGCGTGAGTCACTGATAATGCAGCTATAACTATTCTTTATACTTCAATTCATTCATTATTCACCATATATACATCCTGTGAGCAGTGGTGGTATAGTTACAGACACATGATGTGCTCAAGAACTCATTCCAGTCATTCATTTAGCTAAGCAAGTTACGAAGTTAATGAACTTTAATTACAGCCGTTTGTAAACATTGTCTGTTGATAAATTTAATTAGTTTCCCAATACACATGTCTGTCATGGGATATGTATCACAGCCTCACAGAATAGGTTCAATAGTTTATCATACATTTGTTTAACTGTAAGCAAGTTATAGTAGTGATAATCTAGTTACATAGTTTGTAAACAGATATGACCTTCATTCCTACAATAGCTCAGGCATTAAAAGTCGTGTTCATTGGCTTAGCAAATTCGTTATAAAGTTACAAGGATTTAGTTGTAAAATTACAGTATTGCAGTTGACGTTGAAGTGATGAGGTAAGCTCTTAGAAATTTACAAGCAGTGCCAGGTTACATACAGTATATGCAATATCTACAGTAGACAAACTTGGAATATATGTGAACAGGATTCTGCGTAATATCTGAGAATAGCTGCTGGGAGGACAGGAAGTGTTGTCATTGTACTCCCGCTCAAGGCAACATACACGGCGGGTGTGTTACAGTTGAGAGGCGGGACCTAAGAGCTAGAGCTCAACCCTCGCAAGCCCAACTAGGTGAGTACACGAGAGCAATGTAAGAGTTAATAACTGGGCATTCATCTTGCAAGTTGAATTGTTAGCAACACTTGTAGCGCTCAAGATATTTTAATACACTGTCATAACTAGTTAATCTCCGACACCTTATCCTCATTACTGAACAACTTGCAATCAAACCATTTTTCTGATACTAGACATACTTATATACGATATATACTTGATAAAGGAATCAAGAGTGAAATTGGCATGGATTCCATCATGCATGATGATGCCCTTGGCAAGGCTGCAGTAAATAAAGATGATGTATATAATCTTGAGTTGTCAAACCAGTCTAGAAATGTCATCAGAAGAGACCGTTCGGATGAACGCGAAAAGAGCAGAAGAGTCAAACAAAATAATTGTATGATTATATGGGTAAGTAACAAAATCACAGCCCGAATATGACTAGGCTTCAAGTTTCACCGGAAATATCCGGCCTGTCATAATGATCTATAGATGGCATGAAATGTAAAGTGTTTACAAATACGAACATGCACCAGAATATTAGAACCCATATTGTGTGGAAATATAGCAGTTTATAGATTGATAAAAACTGTAACGTTGAATGAATGAATGACGCATTGCTTTATTGTAGGATTGCCATATCTGAACAGTCTGAATCCAGGACACACCCACTAACAGTCTGCCCCCGCCCACCACACATGTTGGCCCTTTGGTGTTACACACACTTTTTGAACTTTTAGTACGATTTCAGGCCAGAGCGAGTTGTTTGGGCATGTTTTCTGCAACCCATCATCAAAACAGCAGCTCGTCCTAAGGCCAACCCATGTTCGTGAGCATAATTTCGTCTTCAGGCTATGCTCGTCCAAGCTGCAGCCAATCCCAAGACGTATTCATGAATTTTAATGTACTATGTACGTAAGGTACTTTCTGAAATTGAAGTATTATTATATATTATAATTTTATGCAGTTATGGTTAGGTGTGTTAAAGTTCTGTAGGTAATTATTTGTTTTTGCAGTACGTAGGTGAAGCATCGCATACATTCTGCTGCCTGGAAGCTCAGTCTGGAGCATTCTCAACCTTCCGTACAACAGCATTTTAGAAGGTAAGTCGTCGGAAGAATTCTCAATCATCAGTGCGAGAGCTGCTTGAAAGGTAATGTATCTGGACCGCCAGTGAAGTATCTTCAACATCTTAATCTTCCATAAAGGTAAAGTTGAGATGTTTTATGTGTTGGTATTAAGTTCCTTCTAGTGTTGCTAATTGTTATTATTAATAGCAGTATTTTAACCATTAATAGAATCTTCATTAATATTATCCAGGCAAGTCCATCAGATTCTTTACAAAATTCCCACCAGTATCTTGACATCTTCTCAGCAAGACCCTCCCCACCTCTAAACTCTAAAACAACCTATCTCATTTGCTCAAAAATCGGCCCTCACTACTTACATTATCCGTTTGTATGCACTCGGAATACAAGCCTACTAAATAAACGTTATATTGCAGAAATAAAAGCTTAGGAAATTCACACTAGGATATGCCCGAAACGTTTTGCGTATTAGTAGCTTTATTTAATATGCAACTTCTGTACCTACAAGTAAACCACTGTAATGTGTTCTTATGTATATTTAATGAATGAAACTATTATTATTATTAATCATTGTTATTATAAGTTGGTTGGTTTTTCAACTGTGGAAGCCTACCCCCCCCCCCCCTCCCTGTTTCTCGGAATTTATACGCTAAGAGTTTTCTTAAAACCCTCTACATTTCCAACATAGCTCAGAGACAAAATTTTTTGTACCTCTTATTACACCAGCAATTCGTGCTAACATATCAACTCACAAGTTGTATGATAAATGTCAAAGTAAAAATACAAACAATCTCATTAAACTGAGCAGATTTTTAAATGTAATCTACCTGACGTGACTGAGGAAATGTGGTAAGTGCGGTACGGCAAAGTTCCATTGTGGGGGTCTAACCTTTCTCATATACATCAATGACATAGATGAGAATATTACAAACCACATAAAATTTGCAGCTGACACCAAGATTTATGGTAACGTAGGAAGTGACAATGATATTGAGGCCTTATAGTGACATCTAGATGAACTGCACAAGTGGTCGGAAGACTGTGTGACGAGAATCTGGTATAGAGCAGTGGATATTCTGGCTGGTGTTGTGCCAATCGTACATTAATACAAATAAAAAACTGCTTGGGTCCTCTACAGTGTGAGAGCTGCTGGTATAATCCAAAGAGGAATTAAAACTTTAAACATTTAATATAACAAAAAATGACTTTAATTTTCTGCCTAATTTGTTTTAGTAGCCTCACCCACGATAATTAATCGATGTTTTCGTTTGTCATATAGTTAATTTTGTGTCCATTTTCTCTTGGCGTTTTCATTTGAATTTAAATTAATGTTTGTTGTATAATAGCCAAGATAACTCCATTAAGTTGCCTAACGTTTCAGCATTCATTTAGATAATAAAAGTATAGACAATAATAAGAGACTAAATACACACCAATCTTGTCCATGGAGTTCGCTTGTTGACCTTACCCTCGTTAAATTTGCAACTTTCACTAACATGTATAGATTACGTGCCTATATTTGTATTATTACTTTTGCGTTTGTTGCCGATCCAGGCAGAAATAGCTTAAAAACACGCAGTTTAAATCAGAATATTCTTAATGTAGCTAAATCAGAATATTCTTAATGTAGGCGATGAGTCACAATAACGTGGCTGAAGTAACGATCGACTTGAGAATGGTCCAGGACGGACCGAAACGTCGTCGTCCCTTCAATTTCTAGTGTGTGGTCTGGTCAACATTCTTAATGTAGCTATCCACTAAAACGCTAAAATTAGCTTAAGGAATAGGAAGGGAGTTGGTGGCGTTTGTATGCGTGTAAGCAAACACTGGTGGGAGCGGACACTCCCTGGAGGCCACGGCCCTTCCCCTTGGTGCAAGGTGGCGCCCGGCTCCATCAGATCAAGAAGATGGAACGCTGCTGACCTCCTACCTGGCGGCGGAGGTAGAAAGTGGACACCACGAGGAAAACAGCTTAAATGTCAGTGTTGCAATATTTCCATGTTTGAATATTTGCGTTCCGATGCTGAAACGACTATATCTAGTTGGTTTGGAGTTGAACTTACAGCCTATCAATTTCAGGAGGCTGAAATTGATACTAAAGCCACTAAATTGATTACTAAAGCCACTACAGGAGATGTCTGACCAAGCAGAAAGTACACTTTAATCCAGAACTAAAGTAAACTTAATATATGTACCCCGAGAAGATGAGTATACATCTCAGTGTATACCTTCCCAACTACCGGGTACTCCTGCAGTGCCTGGGATCTTATTGAAGAATATATTTGTGCAGTAATGTATTTACTTGTCGAGAACTGATAGCGTTATTAGTAACACTGCTGTTGTTACTAGTAACGTTACCAATCTTTATTGAAATCATAATTGTTACTTGAAAATAATTGCTATTAGCAACGCATACTAGACTTACTTGTAACGCAATAATTGTTATAGCAACGATACTAATCTTTCTTTAAACGATAATTGTTACTAGAAATATTACCATTATTGCTAGTAACATTTCCACTTTCCCTAGTAGTGCTGCCATTGTATTAGTACGATACCCCCATGATATCACTCATTACGTTATCCCCATTATATCACTTATTATTATGTTACCCCATTATAATACTAATTTGCGTTATCCTATTATATTACTATCTTTTCGGGTGCCATTTGTTATTATCAGTGATATCACGAATTCTAGTAACATTACAATTCAATTATATAATTTGTACCTTTGTAGTTACTAACCCCTGTCTTGTCCGAAACGATGTATATAGTTTCGGGCTTCCACCTTGGCTTCTGGAGGCCTATATGACCTCCAGAAGGCCTATATGGCCTCCAGAAGGCCTATATGACCTCCAGAAGGCCTATATGGCCTCCAGAAGGCCTATATGACCTCCAGAAGGCCTATATGGCCTCCAGAAGGCCTATATGGCCTCCAGAAGGCCTATATGGCCTCCACCTTGTTTATTTACAATCGCTATATTTCGAGGGAAACCAAATATGTTATCTTTTATTGGTTTATGAGATTTTCGGGTTATATAAATATAGAATAAATTCACATGTGAAAATATACGTATGGAGTGACTTGTGTATGTTGGAAATGAGTTAGCTGCCTAAGCAACGGTGCCTAGATGTGGGATGGGAGCGTGAGGCTACCAGGTGTGGGATGTGTGCCACGGTTACACGGCTGGGCACGTGTGTGTGTATATATGTGTGTGTGTGTATATGTGTTGCCGTGTACGTGTTGGCATCTTATTCTTTAGGTCATGGCTATCATGCGCGATCCCTCCAGCCTCGGAAGGCTCCAGTGAAACTACCTTCCTAATTTCTGTTGTTATCTTGAGATGATTTCGTGGCTTAGCGTCCCCGCGGCCCGGTCCTCGACCAGGCCTCCTTTTTGTTACACATCACCCAGGAAGCAGGCCGTAGCAGCTGTCTAACTCCCAGGTACCTATTTACTGCTACGTGAACAGGAGCATCAGGGTAAAAGAAACTCTGCCCATTTGTTTCCGCCTCCACCGGGGATCGAACACGGAATCTCAGGACTACGAATACGAGGCGCTGTCCACTTAGCTGTCAGGCCTAGTAATCAACGAAATTCTTGCAATTGTTTTAGTTCGAAGGTCACTATAATTATACAGACTGACGGGTATAATGTATAGCGCGAGGAGATGACGGGGCAGGAACATATATTATAAAAACGCAAACGTTTGATTATATACCGAGTCCAGCGTCTAGTGGAAATTCCATGGAGGAGCGAGCAGGATCTTTCAGATTACGTAAGAAATAACCTGAAATAATCGTTCACCGTTCTTCCTCGGTGAACGAGGAAGAACGAACAGTACTAGGAATTTGCGAGGAAGCTTTTGTTACAAAAATAGGCATGTTACGTGTTCCGAAGTATTCCAGAGGGTTACGTGGTGGAGGTGGGGTTCCTCGATTGTTTCAAGCGTGGGTTGGACATGTATATGAGTGGGATTGGGTGGTTATAAATAGGAGCTGCCTCGTATGGGCCAATAGACCTTCTGCCGTTACCTTTGTTCTTATGTTAGTAGGATGTTGGGGGGGGGGGGGTAGAAATAGCCTAAGCTACTCTATCCCTTTGAGATGTATTTATTGCTTATCTCAATAAACATACTTGAACTTGAACTAGGATGTCACCTTCATCCGCAAGGAGAGCGTCTCATTTTGGGTTGTTAATGGGGATACTGCATATATTGGCGGGTGAGTAGTACATTCTTGGGTAGTCACTAGTACCCATAGCGTGTCGGGCAGAACACGTATAACCACAAAAGGAATTGACAAGATACATTTTAAGAGTTTTCATATAAATCAACACATCTGAAGATGTACGAGTCCATCAACACATCTGAAGATGTACGAGTACATCAACACATCTGAAGATGTACGAGTCCATCAACACATCTGAAGATGTACGAGTACATCAACACATCTGAAGATGTACGAGTACATCAACACATCTGAAGATGTACGAGTACATCAACACATCTGAAGATGTGTTGATGTCCACGAAAGCGCTTAAGTAATAAGCTTAAGTAAAAGGTGACAATTTTTTTACCATGTCGTGGCCTAGTCGACTAAGGCAGCGTCTGGGATCATCCCGGGCGTTCGAGTTCGAACCCTCATCACGGCCCGTGTTGATTTGTTCAAATATTGTTTCATTTTCCTTCGTGGTTATGGGTTTTCACATTATCCCCTGGCTAGCACCAGGGTCCAAGTGGTCAAGGCCGGCCCCCCCCCCCTGGGCGTTGCTCCTACACTAACACCGCCAGAAGACGGTGACCAGTCACAATAAATGCATGAGTCACCTAAGACAACTTTCTCCCTCACGCCTGTAGTCTGCTTCCTGCTTCCTCAGTCATCACAACACGCAACATTCTTAGAGTTGCCGATAAGGTGGATAACGCCACGATGGTTGACAGAGACGGAATTGACATACAAGGATGGACATACATGTACATGCTGAGCTCCCAAATGGGTAAACAAAAGAT